GGTCGACTCTGAGGATCCCCGGAAGGGGAGGGACAAAAGGGATGGACCAGGGTTTAAGTAGAAGATTAGATCACAAGACCGAGGTTGGTTCGCTATGTAGTTTGCACCCGGGCACGGTTGAAGATACCCGCTGCCGGATAGTGCTCACATTTAATTGGTCGTAAGACAAGCCTCCCGGCTCAATTAGTCAAACGAACACCTTTTCAACCCTTGCCTTTCATGATAGGAAAACATGATGAACTACGAAGTGACACTGCTGAAACCGGACACAGACTAACATCATTGAACATGCTATGTATTTCGCACCCAGGCATGAATGACTAACATCATTAAACATGATAGGTTTAACTGACGAATGAAACTTTCTTGGACTGGGTGGAACGAACACTTTCTTCAGCAATCTTTTTCGACCGTTCTCGGGTTACTATACCGAGTTCCCCTGTAGAAACCTTGCCTTTCATGATAGGACGAGGTTTTGGTTTTGGCTTGGTGGGGACATCAATAGATGGTTGCTGACTGGGACCGGCCTCTGACTCCTTTTGTTTTGAAGGGACTGGTCGTTTTGCATTGACACCACTTGACTTAGTGAAATCAAAGCTATTCGAAGCTTTGGTTGTGTCCGACCTCAGATTGGTTGCTTGAGCTGGTTTGACAGTGGCTTGGATAACAGCCGAGGCAGCTCGACATTTGACTTTGCCTGGTCAGGCACTCCTCGGGCCAAGTTTGTAACCCTTCTCTAACCGAGGAAACTTGCAGGGTGTATCCTCCTCATCAGTGAATTTTCTCTTCTTCGCTCGATCGGCCGACTCCACCCCACAGCCCAGGTCAGCTTCCCAAAATGTATCATCAGCCAAGACCTCAGTGTCCGATGGTACTTCATGGGAGAGAGCCCGGGTGTCGTTGTACCGAGGCTGAAGCTCGGGGCTGGTATCTACAGTGATCGTAGCATCGTCTGAGCCCAAATCTGATCCCGAGTCTCTATCCTCTTCCAAGGTCGGGTTGACCCTGCTAGGTTTCACTGTGGGCTCGGTCAGAGTATCCTGCTTTGGCCTCTCTTGACCATTATCGGAGTCTGAGTCACTATCATCGGAGCCATCCTCACGATGTTCATCATGCTGTTTGGTTGGTTTCTTGGTTGGTTTCTCCATGTCCAAGTCTTCTCCATCGTCATCAGAGCCATCCCGATCAGGAGTCCAGTCATCCTTAGAAAACTGTTCAGTTCGTTTCTTGGCCGGTTTGTCCACATCCAAATCCTTCCAACTGTTGTCATCGAACTGCCGATCTTCCACCCCTTCCTTTCTCTTTGGCCTGGCTTCCTCATCTGACGGTGACTCGGTTGCTGCCTGGCCTCTCCTTTGACCCTTGCTTCTGCCGGGCTTCTTGCCCTTCCCAACACTATGAACATGAGGTTTAGGAATGTGAACTTTGATTTTCCTTCGTGGAGGTGCTTCCAGCAGCATTTTCCCCTCAAGAAAGGATTTAAATCGAAAGGCAACTTTGTGTTGTTCTTGACGTTCATACCAAAACTGGAGAGCTTCAGTGACCATCTCCATCGGGAATTTGGAGGGATCAAGAAACTTGTAAACGTTGTTACCTTCTCCATTTACTGATCTCCAAGCCGGGGGTATATATTCTAGATCAATGAAGTCAAGTAACTTTGATCCAATAGCCGTCCAAGGAGCCGATCCCTTACTCTGCCCAGCTGCAAGATCTAAGTAGACAAATGTTTAGTGATACAGGGCAAGAAATCTCTGGGCACCGGCTTACTATAGTGCTGGTTGACAAATGTACGAAGAACATTCAGCCACCAAATTCGAATATCACGGGAAGTTTTAAGTGGTGGTTTTGATGGATCGGGTAGAATAGGTTCCAGGTATAGGTTCTTCTCCAAAGTCATAGCACCCCGGGATCGGTGTCCTCCTTCGGCCAAAGCAAGATCCTCCAACCCATAGTATTCTTCATTGTGTGCTCTCCAAGAAGATACCGATATTCCTTCCTCATGGAAAGTCCGGCTATGGTTATCAATAAAGTCTTTCCCATTCCCAAGTTCTTGATTGAAGTCGTACATCGAGACGTCCAAATTACCATCGGGCTTCAGATAACATCCTAAGATAAAGACCCGGACACCCATTGTGTCATAAAGTTCCTTGGAAAATGCATGCATCCGAGCCGTGCAGTTCTTTACAGCCAGTCTACCAAAGGTCCAGATAAGCCAACGTTAGAATAATGAAAATTAACTTACTTGGACTTGAGTTCCGGGTCAACTCCCTTCTTGTTGTACTCCTCGGCCGTCCTCTGCAGTACGTCTTTCTCCCTTTTCTTCAGTTTTCCCATCATTTGAGTCACGACCCGCTCCCGAAAATCAAAATGAGTGGGATCTCCCCCTTTAGGCCTCTTTTGTCCCTCTTCAATGGCTTCGGCACAAAGCCTTTTCGCTTCGGTATCGATGGCGTCCTTGTTCTCATGCTGGAACACACGCCGGGCGTGCCACGACTTTCCCATCCTCAGCATTTTCTGACTTCTCTTACGACTGTACCGGGCAAACCACTCTTTAATATCCTACAAGTCCGTCAGGAATCAATTAGAGGGCCCCTGGAAAAAGTACTTACTTTTTTAACAGCTGATCTTTCTTCCTTCTTGAACGATTTTCCATTGGGGAGTATGTCGAGCATGTCTTGCAAAACTCGAGAAAATATCTCAGCACGAGCAGCGTCGTTGGCGTCTCTGTACTCCTCCCGATGTTTTTCCAATAGAGCACTTTCTTCATCAGTCCAATGCCTCCCGGACCCATGGTGCTTGGTTTGACTGGAAAGTGGGGCAGATGGTTCAGGGGATTGAGAATGAGTACTCATAATGATATAATTAATGGTATTTGGGAGCAAAGAGGTAGATGGAAAATGGTAGTCGGGAGCAGAGAGGGAGAACAACTCATGCCAAATACAATGAACAAACAATCACCCCTGATTCGGGAAAGGGAATTACTTTATATATCATCTATCAAAAATATACATAACTGATCGGCACGGAAGATCGAACACGAAACGGAAAAGAACAGACCTTAATAACCTTAAATAGCTTAAATAGCGGAACAGTTATGATCGCATCACAGGACAAAACCTTAATTAGCTTCCTCTGTAATTATGTCTGTCTGTAATTATCGTCGGTCCATCTAAGTAACTAAACTGGTAACGCAGTTATGGTGGTATATATTGAAGCTACCTTTATACCAATGTATGATGAGGCTGTCAGCGCAGTACTTTACAGTGCCCCACCTATTCCTGCAGGAATCCTGCAGGAATGGGATCATTCCAGTGGAATTCCAGGGGAATCCTGCAGGAATAGAGTCATTCCAGTGGAATTCCAGAGGAATTCCAGAGGAATCCAGAGGAATCCAGAGGAATTCCAGTGGAATCCACAGCATTCCACTGGAATTCCACTGGAATAGGACTGGAATCAAGCAGAGTAAGTTTTTTTCAACTCCAAGCTTATCCTGATGACTTGGCACTCATATTTCCTTATAAAATTCACATGTAGAAGTCATAGATTGAGTTGTAATTTATTTGAAATGTATTACTACACACACTACACAGTTTATCTTAAAGGGAGGGGGTAGAGGAGGGACAAGGTGGGGATGTATTTGAAATGTATTACTACACACATTACACAGTTTATCTTAAAGGGAGGGGGTAGGGGAGGGACAAGGTGGGGGTGTATTC